AATTCTAATTATAGATAACAATCATTACACACTATGTGCTGGGTGGGTACTGTTAATTGCTTTACATGTATTATTTAATTCTCAAACCATCTTAGAAGGTAGGTACTAAATTTATAGCTCCCATTTCTGATGAGGAAGCTTAAGCTTAGCTAGATAAAGTAATTTGCTCTCTATATTGTAAGCACTTATAATTTACAACTCATGTCAGAACTTGTCTCTGCTATTTTTAAAGGATTGTTTGCTACTCTTTTGAGTGGGATGTAACCTGCATAGTTAACCATGCCCTTATTGGTTGTTTTCCCCTTTGTTTGTTGTAAATAAAGTGAATATTTGTGAATGAAGCTTTTCCCACATACATGATACTTTTTTCTTAATTTTGGCAGTAGAACTAATAATAGATGAGTTAAGTTGTTTTTATTTTTTTCTTGCCTATGATGGTGTTTTGCTTCTATTTACTTTTTCTTTTCTTTCCTCTGCCTGGAGAATCATCACTTGGCTCTCATACTATTAGTCTGCTCCAGCTGCCATAACAAAGTACCACAGACCGGGGGGCTTAAATAATAGAAATTTATTTCTCTCATTTCTTTCAGGTCTCTACTTAAATATCACCTCAGAAAGGCCATCTCTAATCACGCTACCTAAAATACCCCCCCAAACACATCATCTTTTTTTTAAAAATTTTCATTAAGGTATTATTGATAGACACTCTTGTTAAGGTTTCACATGAAAAAACAATGTGGTTACTACAGTACCCATATTATCAAGTCCCCACCCATACATACCCCAGTGCAGTCACTGTCCATCAGCCAACACATCATCTTACAGCTTCTACCATTCTTTGTTTTTCTAGATAGCACTCTGTGTCATCTGATGGACTATTTTTTTCTTCATTGAAGCTCCCCTCCCCCCGACATTTGTGTGAAAGCCTATGAGAGTAAAGGCTTTTATTAAAATTATTAAAAAATTTTTATCTCTAATGCATAGAGTTGTGCCTCTGAATAGTTTAGTAAATATTCTTTTTGGCAGGGGTGGAGGGGGGAAATGAATAGCTTGCAGTAAGAAGTGCATAAAATATGGCACACTTTGTTATTGACTGCCATCCAGTCATTAAAAGTCATTTACACAGTGATAATACAGGAAATGATATAGGAAATGCCTCATGATACGAATAGAGAAAATACAAGTATATATGTGTATAATGGTTCCAGTTTTGTTTAAGTGAATGGCAATTATAAGAAAATAGACTATGTATTAGTGGTTAACTCTGATTATGGTTACATGTGACTTCTTAAAATTCTTTTTTAAGAAGTTCAGTGTCTATTTTGTATTATTTTTCTAGTAAAAGGGAAATAAATATATATTTCAAAGGAGTATCTCCACTTGCTTTTTCAATTTTCTAAATCTAAAACCAAACCCCATCATTCCTTCCATATATACATTGACTTGGCTATATTGACCTCCCACATTCTCATTGTCAACGTGCCACATCTAGGAGTATCTTCTTTAATAGCGTGTCTCTTGGACTCAGGTACTGTCTAAACTGGCCCTCAGCTCATGCCTCGATAATGTTTGTAACCTACAAACCTCTCCCTACTTCTGTGTTTCCTTTAGCAGTATAGTTGACCCTGAGCAACATGGGTCAGAGGTACCAACACGCTGTACTGTTGAAAACCCATGTATAACTTTGCCCAAAAACTTAACTATTCATAGCCTACAATTCACTGGAAGCTTTACCCATGCCATAGACAGTTGATTAACATATATTTTGTATGTTATGGGTATTATATGCTGTATTCTTTCAATAAAGTAAGCTAGAGAAAAGAAAATGTTTTTTCAAATTGTCACAAATCTCCAAAAATTTCTCCAATATATTTTATGAAGAAAGTCCTTGTATAAGTGGACCCACACAGTTCAAACTTGTATGTTCAAGGGTCAGCTGTATATCTTATTCAATCAGTATTAGATCAGTCTTTCTAAAACTTTTCCAGTGGCGGTTGGCTAAAAGCCAAGCCTCTTGAACTAGTATTCAGATATCCTCCCTACTGATCCACATTATCTGTTCAATATTATCTCTTAATGCTCACCATTGTCTTTATCTTATAGTTAGTGTCTTTATAATTCTTTACATAGATTAAGCTTATTTTGATTTCTGTGCTTTCCTTCATTGGTTTTCTTTCTTCAGTTGTTCCGTCTTTTTTAGTTCAACTCCTGTATTTCGAGGCCTGTTTTTTTCTGTCTTTATGAGGCCATTCCCATTCCCATGGCACTAGGTCTGTTTTACACTTAAGTGTTCTTGCCTTGTTTTATCTATCGTCTTCTTCCTTAACCGTATGTACTTCAGGTATTTGAGAATAAGACTCCTCTGCCTTTATTATTGCTCATTTTAATGGCCACAACCAAGCCTAGGAGCATAGCAGGAACCTACTAAATATTTGGGAGGTCTGAATCCTGCCACAGAAATGAAGATGAAATGAGTGATGTGTTTTACATTTATCGTAAAGCACCAACATCAGTTCTTGTCGTTGTTCAGAGCTGGTGCGTATGCCAATTTTTTTAATAGGAAAATGATTAAATTTTATTAAGTAAAACATGAGAACTATGGTACATTCCTAATAAAATGGTACCAAATTGTACATTTCCTGGTAGATAAATTGAATTCTACATCTGTGCTATATGCTTGTTCTCTGGATAAAACTCGCTTCTCCAATAATTGCTCTTTTCAGTTTCCAAGAATCAGACCAATTTTTCATTCAAAGCTATTTCCTTTCAAAGATGAGGTGACTGTCACTTGCTTTCCATTATTCTGTCATATAACCCTACTGCGTTCCATTTCTTTCATAGACAGCTGTGTCAATTTAAATGTTAGATCTTAGATTTCAGTGACCTTAGGCTTATTCAGTCCTATCTTGTGTTCAGTCATTGCCTTGACTTCTTTAGTTCACAGACTAACTTATACACTACATGTGTTCATGTGTATCTGGGACCAACTCTAGAAGTTGATTGTGATTTTCATGATCTTGTGTCTAATTAGACCCTCTCCAGGATCTAGAAAACGCCAGACTCCTCAGTACAGTGACCCCAAACCACATGGTAACCGTCCAGGTACAACTGTCCGAGTTCACCGTCCCTCTGCACACAATCTTCACAATGATAGAGGGAAGGCTCTTCGTTGTCGGGAAAAGAAAGAGCAGAATAAAGGAAGAGAGGAAAAGGTAAAGTTACTGATTTTCTTTTTGTTTCTGAAAACAAGTTTTATTTAACTAAGAGTTTAAATATATTACATAACATGAAAACTGAAGGAAGAAACCAAAATAGTTTGTTACTTCACATGGTGTTGGGCAGCTGTTGCTAGTAAGTTGCAGCTCCACAGCTAGCTAGCTACGTGCCTCTGCAGCAGTTTGGAATTTGTTCCCTTGTCAAAAGTTTAATAAAAGGTTGGCCTCATGTTCTGGTGTTTGGACATCAGTTAGCTAGGATATGTCTGGTCAAAAAGGCCTTGGTTGCAAGCCAGATGTCCTGTCACTCACTAAAAGAAAGGTGGCAGCTCTCGCTTTGCCCTGTCAGGTTGGAGCCCCAGGGCCTCTGCTCTGAAAACAAAGACTCCCCTCTAGTGGGTACAGCTGCCATACCCCATCCTCTCCTCTCTGACTCACTGAGGGCTGGTCAGGTGGTGACATTCTCCTAGGGCAGGGAACTCGGCAGAGGGAGAGCCAAGGAACTTCTGGCCAGACATAGCCACCTGTGACCTTGGGGCTCTGGGATTGGGAAACCTCACGTTACCGCTTTCTTTCGGGCAGACACTGCCAGGTGCCTATTGCTTGACCTCTGTTTAAATGACAGACTTTAAGACTAGACAGCATGGCTCTTTTTCAGTTCATTGGATTTCAGTTCATTGGATTTACACTAGTCCAAGTTAAAAGCAGACCCCAAATGGTTATATAGGCTGTGAGGTTTTTAATTTTGTGACAAGGGACAGAAGGGAAATTCTACTCATTGCAGGGAACTCCTCACTTAAGCTTCAGTGAGCAAAAGCACTTAAAACCCGTTACCCTCCAGCTGGCGTTCCTTAGCCAGTCCAGCCTCTACCGGGAACTGGCATACACTCTTGCGCTGGTCACCCTGGAGCTGAATTACTTCTCCATATCCTGGATGCTCAGTTACGGTACCACGAGAGGCAGATTTCTTCTTAAACGCTATCACTGGTTTGTATCATAATCATCAGCCATCCCTTGGACAGTAGTAAGGGTCTTTCTGCCGTTTCTCTGTTGAATTCTTATCTCAGTGCCAGCAGGAAGCAGATTATCACCCTTACTTGCATCAGCAAGTGGGTTGAAAGAGTGAAGGTTCTGAATAGAGTACATACAATACTATTCCTTTTCCTCTGTGTAAATGGCCTGCGGAAGGTGGCGGTGGATAAAGGAAGAGAGGGGGCTTAAGGGGTAGGCCGCTGAGTCCTCGGCAGCAGTGGCTCGGTCACTGCGGCCTTGATTTTCATAAATGGAAAAGTTATTCATTAACTTTAAAAATTAAGACAGTGTAAATTTTAATGATTTTTAGTCATTAGAACTGCAGAGACTATAATAATAAACAACAAATATCAGTTGTTTTTGTAATTTTATATTTTGACCTAATTTCAGACTTGGAAACAAGTTGCAAGAATGGTATAAGGAACTTTCATTTTTCTTCACCCAGTTTTACCCATTATTGATATTTTGACTCTTGTGCTTTTGCATCATTTACTGTCTGTGTACTTTTTTTTTCTGTAGCATTGAGAGCAAGTTCTAGATCTCATGCCTTTTTATCCTGAAATACTTTATACAGTATGCTTCCTAAGTACTAGCACATTCTTTTATATAAACATAACACAATGATCAAAAGCCATACATTCTACATTGATATAGTACTTTTATCTGATCCATAGACCTTCATAAAATTTAGCCCAATGTGTCCCATTACTGTCCTGCAGAGCTTTTTCCCCTTGGGCCAGGATCCAAGGTGGAAGCGTACTCTGCAGCTGGTTGTCATGTTTCTTTAGTCTCTCTTCATGTGAACATCCTCAGCCTTTATCTTTTTTGGCCTTGCTTTTTTTTTTTTTAATTGTGTTAATACACAATCTTACATTGGTTTCAAATGTACAACACAGTCATTCAACAGTTACCTGCATCAAATCCTCACACCCTTCAGTGTGGTGACTATCTGTCACAGAATTGGCCTGGCTTTTTAAAAAGTAAAGGCCAGTTATGCTGTAGATTGTCCCTCAGTTTGGCTTTGTCTGATGCTTCCTAATGAGTAGATTAAGGGTATGCATTTTGGCAGGAATGCACTGAAGCAAAGTTTTGTTCTTCTCTGTGTATGATGTAGGGAGGCACAGGATGTCTCTCTGATCTGTTACTCATGGTAAATTGGATTGCTTGGTTGGAGTGGTGTCTGCCAGGTCTCTCCACTACGAAGTTACTCTTTCCCTTTATAATAATTTGTGTGGAGATACTTGGAGACTCTGTAAATACCCTGTTTCTCATCAAAAATTTGTTTCAGCATCCAGTGATTGTTGCCTGAATCAGTTCCTATGACAGTTGAAAAAGTAATGATTTTTTAGTGCCACTATTTCCTCTACATTAATTAATTGACATTCTACTGTAGGGAAGAACTTTGTCTCTTACTTTTGTTTAATTTTCTCAGTATGGACTTACAGACTCTTACTTTATTCAGTGATTTGAAACCTGGACACTTTCATATTATGTTATGAGACTCTAGATCTTATTTAAACCTACCGTTTCAGCTGACTTTTTCTGACTGACGCTGCTTTGGCTGGGAAAGTGGAGTAGGGGGCACTGCTGCCAGGTGAAGGTGGAAGTCCAGGTTCCCCACCCAGCCTCTGTTGACACCTGAATAAGGGGAGGGGTCTGCTCATTGCTGCTGAGCTGTATTGGGAGTCCTCCACGTGAACTTCAGTGACACTGTGGTGGGGTGGCCTTGTCTTGACTCTCTGCTAATCTTCCTCTGATGCCATCCCAGTGCCACATTATTGCTGGTTGGGGTAGGAAGTCTAGGTTCCCTCTGTGTTTGCCACTGACTGAGTGTGAGTTTTGTCACTGGTTGGCAGGAATGAAAATTCCAGTTCCCTGCTTGGCCTCTGAAAGCACCCTGGTGGGGGCTTAGGGTACCTCTTTACAGCCTCCCAGGGGTGGAAGTCCAGGCTCTCCACTTGGGCTTTGGGGCCTGGGTAGGAGTGGGGCCAGCCTTCTCTGTGTGCTTGACTGGCACAGAATGTTGTTCTCTAGAAGTTTTGTCTTACTAGCCTACCCCTTCCTTTGTTTTTTGGCTAGAGGGAGCAAGCTTTTATTGGGGCTTTTTTTTGTTTGCTTATGTTGTTGTTTAGCGTTGCTGGCTTCTTCAGCCTCAAGTCTGGGTATAAGAAGGAAAAAGAAAACCCAGAGAACTCACCGTCATGTCCAAGTTCCTAGCCGGTCTGCTGCCTTCTCGATAATTTTCAAAGTCTTAACTTTGTTTACTATATAATGTCCACAGTTTTTAGTTCTGCTTAGCAGTAGGAATAGCAAAAAGTATATTGGCTTTATCTTTTTGTAAGTGAAACCTCAGCTGTCATTTCAAATTAACTTTTTTAATTGAGACAGTGGATTTAGATTTTATGTTTATAATTTTGCCAGCTTTTAAAATAACTGGGTTCAAACAAGAGATTTTTCCTCTACTGAATTGGTCCATCTTCAGCTTTATTTTAAGCCTAAAAAAGGAGTCTGTGTTCTTAACCTGTCTATTGCTTCCTTTTATCTCCTAGTAGTTGTTACTATTTTCACTTAGAGCAAGTTATTGAATCGATGTGTGCATAAAGAAAATTGTACTATTTCAACTAATTAAATGAACTCCTATTAAAAATGTCAACATTTAAAAATTCTATTACATTAGGTCTCCTTGGCCGACATGTTATAGAATTGTTTCTCCTTCCTGCTATATTGTTTGTTTTGCTTTGCCGACATTCCCTCAGCACTGTGTTCTTTGGGAGAAAGGAAGCAAGAGCTAGAAAAGTGCCTTCTGTTTGTGTCTTCCAGGGCTTACAGCTTAAATCCCCAACTGTTAGGGACAGTGTTTTTCTATCCCCCACAGCTGCTAGCACAGAATAGATTCTTGCTAAATTATCTGTGAATGAATAACAACTGCATAAATACTTAGAAGAAAAGATAACCTCCTCCTTTTTTAAATGTTACACAATACCTTCCTTGTGAATCTTTTGTTAGTATTAGATACTGAATATGTAAATTGTGAGACAGACGGCTATTTGATCACCTAGTGTGAGACTTGGTCATAAATATTGGTGAAGTCTAAACATTAATACTGATTTTGGGCAGCACCATTGACAAAATACTGTCATGTTGTGGGCAAAAAATGTTATGGAGATAGGGTAACAAAAGTAGTACAAAATGGAGTAAATGATTATCTACCTAATGCAGAGCTTCTTAAATTGTCTTGGCTCATAAAATTCAAGTGCATCTCAGCAGTTTTTTCATAGCACCTCTAGGGCAAAAAGAATACCATTCCATTTATGAAGAAATTAGATTCAGAAAGACTCGGTGTATGTCCTAACAGCAGCTGTTGGACATTGTACAGCTTCTCAGACTTGGAGTCTCCATCCCCATTCCAGCCTCATTCTTCTAGCACATTAATTTTCCTATTTTATCTTTTATCACAACAACTGCTAAAACTTCACAAAAATGTGACCTTCTTGAAAGGCATGCAGCAATCTTAATGTAGAGACTGAACGACCTGGAGATGGTAATTCACCCAGTGTTCAACACATGTTGCTGTTTACCTCAAAAGTTTAAAATATCCCACAGTGTCCTGTAAGTCTGCCATTGTGTCCTTAGAGTACTGTCATATGTAGTTTGGGAACTGTGGCCCTAATGACTGTCACCTGAAAGGATGGGAGGGACTCTCACCTGAGGACTGAGTTGCCTCTTTTGGAGAGTGGCAGGAATACTGAAAAGGAATGTTTTAGGAGCGCTGGTGAGGACGGAGTAAGTGGTTACAGACTGACCAGAGTCTTAGCTAAATAAACCATCTGTCTTTAGCTTTATCTCCTTTAAAGCTTTGAGGTCATTGTCATATAATACTCATTAGTGACCAGTTAGTCTAGTATTCTTTTTTATTCTTGCCAGTTCATATGCATATTTTTCTTTTTCTTTAATGTTTGTCAAACTCTTTATGCTAAAATAAAAACTAAGTATGAAACTGATGTTGATGTAGAGAGATGACTTACAGTCTTTGATTCTGTCATTACTACTTGTACTATTATATTTGTTTTTTTAAAAAATATCACTTGAGTCTAGTCTTTGTGGCTCACAAAAACAAAATACAATTTTTGAGTCAATCAAAAGCTCTTGTTTTTTCTCTCTATGTAGAACAAATCACCTGCTGCAGTTACAGAACCAGAGACAAATAAATTTGATAGCACTGGATATGATAAGGACTTAGTAGAAGCTTTGGAGAGAGATATAATTTCTCAGAACCCCAATGTTCGATGGTAAGTTATATCCCAATAAAATAATTGGGTGCTCATAATGCTTTTGGAACAGAAAATGGAAGAGATGTGGGCATGCACTAAAGATTACTCCTTGGGGATAGAACCAGAGTACATACATGTGAGCCTGATGCATAATGAAAAGCTTTATTTTGGTTGAGGCTGGGCCACTTTTTTGTCTGAGATTTTTTTATTTAGTAAAATAAAATTTTATTTAAGAAATCCCTTTTACAGAATGGGAATAAGATCACAGGAATTTTCTTTTTGGGTCATCCGCTTATGGTGAAGTGGCAGTGATTCTGATACATATCTGTTGCGTGTCACCTGTAGGTTCATCTAGTAGATCCTGCTTTTATTTCTTATTAGAGCAGTGGTTCTCAGCTTTATTAATACTGTATCTAATTAAAGAACTGTAATTTACCCCAATGAGTTACACCTTTCCCTCAAAGTTAGGAACATTTTGTTACATATTTTTTGTTAAAACGTTAACAATTTTTAGGTATGGTTTGGGGAGATTTTAAAAATATTTTTTGGTATTTGATATTTATACAATGAACATATTCTCATAAAAAAATATGTAGCAGTAGTGTTCTAGAGGTTGGAGATGACTTCATAGCAATCTCTATGATACTCTTTAGCTTTGGTGTCTCTCTGTAGGGTCGGGGGCAAAGCAGCAGTATTGCAACCTGTCTCTGTGTTCTGTCCTTTTTATCTTTCATGTTTTTTTTTAGTGGGCTCATTGTAAGTCATGGAGTTTATGGGATGAGCATTATAAAAGCAGGAATTTAAAATGAGATGGCATAATAATACCTAAGAGTAGGCCTATAGACCAATGTTCTCACTCACCAAGCTGAAAACACTGCCAAGAACTGAAGATTCATACTGTGCTCTTTACATATATGGGTTGGCGTGGCAGACCTTATCACAACGTGTTAGTTCACTAGTGCCTACGGAGAGGCTTAGCTTTCTGTCAGCAGTGAGAATTGTGTAGTCTTGGGTAATCACGATGTAAAACCACTTTCAGTGGTTCTCAAGAATGACTACAGAGTTAAATTTATAATCTTAAGAGGTTATTGCTAACATGTCTTCTCTTTCAGGGATGATATTGCTGATTTAGTAGAAGCTAAAAAGTTGCTTAAGGAAGCTGTGGTATTACCAATGTGGATGCCAGAATTCTTTAAGGGCATTAGGAGACCATGGAAGGTCAGTTTATTACTATTGAGGCATTGTCAAAGTGAATAGCAAGTACATTACTATCAAAAGCCAGTATTTATCTGTACTGGTGAGAAGTGAAGAGAGAAAATAGAGCAAGTAAAGACAATTTTTTAAACGCGTAGTTATATTGTTCAGAATTGTGTTTAGACCAAAAGCTATTGGAAGTTTCCCAGAATAAGAAATAGGTACAATGTGATCTTTGGAAGAAAAGTAGACACAGAGTAGATTTAGAATGAGCTTGTATTTGCGAATATGAACAAGTTGCTTAATGCACATAATATCCCATTTAATGTGTCATGCTGCAAAACCTGTATCCTGGATTTCTTGTAACTGTTCTTGAGAAATTAATGAGGCATGTCTACACCTAATGAGTACTTTTTTACTCATGAGCTGATGTGAAAAGAGACTCTTGGGTTTGGGAAATGTGCTAAATAGCTAACTTGGAAGTGATAAGCAAGATATAAAAATTATAAATGTGCTCTGAGTTCAACTATGTAAAAATAATTAATTTGAGCAAAAAGACTATCAGGGAATATATCCAGATATTAATGGTACCCATGTTAGGATATGATATTGTAATATTGACCATATTTTTTCTCACTTCTGAGTTCCACATTTTTGATAATGTTGTTACCTTTTGTAATGAAAAAAGTAAATTTCTGATAAAGTAACCTTTGTCTTTGTCTTAATACTACATGGAAGTTGGTTGAAATTTGATCCTTAGTAATGGAGTTCTTATGAATTAGAAAAATGGTAGATAAATACTTTGCTTACACTACTATATTCCCAACAGGGAGTGTTGATGGTTGGCCCTCCTGGCACGGGAAAGACCCTCCTTGCCAAAGCAGTAGCTACAGAGTGCAAGACAACATTTTTCAATGTCTCTTCATCAACTCTGACTTCCAAATACAGAGGAGAGTCTGAGAAGCTTGTTCGTCTCCTGTTCGAAATGGTGAATGTTTGAGACAACTCTAATGGTTCTTTACCTCTCAGAGGGGAGAGAGTGAGTTGTAACTCTCCAGCGTGTGGAATAGCACGGCAGGGCGACAGTGCGCCCAGAGTGTGATTCCTGTAGAACCCTTTACTGACTCGAGTAATTTGAGGTTTTCTTTGTCTCCTTTCCTCTGGAGCAAGAGCCATCTCTGGGAGCTTACGGGCATGCTCACATTATGGAATCTGCATTACTAATCTGCTTTAGGAATTTGAATTACTATGTTTTTTAAATCAGTAGCCTTAGTTATACTAGAGTAAATGCAGTATTGTAACATTGTAGTGATGTGAAAGGTGAAAACCGTAAGGCAGCTGTGGACCTTAGGTCACCTCCAATCTATTGACTATACCAAATACCTACAATCTTTGGCATAAGTTCTTTGCTTATCACTTTGACTTTCTTTTTCTTACTTCCACTATCTGAGTATCAGTAGAAAAATGTAATTCAACCTAGTAGAGTGGATTGAATTCAGTAGTTTTTTAGACTGCTGACTTTGTTAAGTTTCACTGATTATTTCAGTCTTGCCTTGTTTAAGAAATATTGTAGTTTATGTATTGGGACAGAGTTATGCTTATTATGTAGACAGTGACAAAGACTTGCATCCTTAATCCTGGACAAAACCTTAGATGACCATATTGATATTACACCAGAGTTTCCTAAGCTCAGAATAAAACAAAGAGAACCCCACACAATTTCAGGTTATCCATTTTCTATAAAGGCTTCTTCCTGCTTTAGTTCCCATTTTCTTTTTTCCTAAAACTTCAGTATTCCTAAGGCAGGACACCAGTTCTAACAGGTTCTTAATGACTTACTCAGTAGTGCACGCTGCAGTGGAATTTAATGGAGAGCTTCTTGGATCATTTTGACAAATTAGTCTGCCCTTTCTTCAGGGGAGAAAGGAAAAGAAATTATATTGCCAGTATTCCAGAATAATTAGGCCTTTTTAAAAATTTAAGTTAGTGTGAATGGTGAAGGGTGGAGTCTCTAGAGACAGGTGACCTGGGGTCAGATCCCACCTGGGTCACTTTCCTAGCTGGCTAACTAGGCAAATTCCTTTCCTGGTTCTCAGTTGCTTCATCTATAAGAGGACGGTGATAGAGGACCTATCTCCGTAATGTTCAGAGGAAGCAGTGAGCTAATACACGTCAACTGCTTAATACAGAGCCTGACCCTCAAGGCCTCATAGCTCTTAGCTGTTACTGTTAAGAAGTATATATTTTCTAGTGAAGGGTTTTATATTGAGGAATATGGGGGGAAAGCCTCTTACAAAGTGCTATGCTGCATTATTTTTTATAGTGAGATTTATGAAGGCGTATCAGATCACTTATTTTTACTGGCTTTCCTAGGGTTGTCCAGGAAAATTTTAACCATTTTTCAATAAATCCCTGTTTATCTGGAGTGCGCTCCTTTGAGTTGCCCACTTGAGTAGTGGCTTGTTCACAAACCAATGTCTGCAGTTTGGAGTTTCTGCCCTTGTGACTTTTGGTTTAGGGCTCATATCCGAAACCAGATGGATTCTTTTCTTTTCGTTATCTAAACTCAAGATGTAAAATTCTGCTGCCTCTCATATCTTGGTTTTGACCGCTCTATAGATGACTGCCTTTCTTGAGTGTGTACCTTCAGTCCCTCAGAATCTCTCAAAGTGAACATGCCTCAAGGCCTGTAATTTAAATAAGGCCACTTAAATATAAAATTCTGTCCAGGATTTTTCATGTGACATGGTTAACAAACACAAAAAACTTAATTTGTAATTTTTTTGTGTTGCCACAAGCATCCATTTTCAAGTGTCAGAAACCTAATCAAGTGAGCTTAAACAAAAAGAATACTATATTGGGTCATGTAAGCTGGGAATTTTCAGAAGTTAATGTTGTAGGTTTTTAGGCCTGACAGGATCCGGCAATGCAGATGTCTTTGGGAATGTTACTCTCTGACTTCTGGTTCTGTTTACTTCTGGGTTGGCTTAGAATTTATGCAGACCATGTAGTCATTAAGGTAGTCATCAAAGGCTTAAGCCTTATTTGTATTGTCCATATGGTAGTCCCAGAGAAATTAGCACTCATTTCTCAGTTGGCCCAGCAAAATTGCAGGGGTTAATACTTCACTGTTTTGAGTCACATGACCATGCCTGACCACATCATTTTGGTCAGAGAATTGGAGTTGCCTGATTGGCCAGGTCTGAGTTGGCCTCTCTTGAGGTAGGGGCACGAGAATAAAAAGGGATGACTTATAAATGAAAAAGAGATCTTCTCTTAGCATAAGGTATGCAGGCAAAAACAACTGGTGTCCACTCTAAATCTTTGTCTAGTACTTTCTATAGGGCTTCCTCAATTTTACATGTGCCACAAGGCCTCTGCTTTAATCAGATTGTTCTGCACACCCTTAGTATTTGGGAAGAATCAGTCTGGTATTTTTTGTTTGGTGTGGCAACAAACAGATTGAAATTTAATTTTTATCAGTGTAGGTTTTGCTGGTAGATGGTTTCTAGCCAAAATTTCAATCGAGATTTTTCTAGGCCACTTTTTTTCTTTCTTTTCCTCTGTCCATTAAAAAAAAAAAAAGGTACAAAAATATTTGTACATAGTACCTACAATCCAAGTAAGGATGCGTTAGTACAAATGAATCATCCCTCAGAAGGGAATAGATGACTTGGAGTTCAAATTTTCAACTAGAAAAGAAAGCAACATTTTTAAATATAAAGATTTTACAAGTGAACAGACCAAAACTAATCCATGTCTTAGATGTATGGTTTTTTTAACACAGATAATTGTCTCTTAGAGGATGTTAGATCTCAACCTCACAATCCAAAATAACTGATAGACCCGATACAATTGTATGCTCAAGTCTGTAGTGTTCACTTGCCATTGGGGACTAATTTTTAGGAAGACCTTTAAGGTGCTATTTCTTCAAGCTGTGTTGAGAAATCTTGGTCATCATTTAGGTTCAAACTTTCTCTTGCAGTGTATCTCTAAGTTTGGATATTTTGTTTAAAAAATTAACAGTAAATGTCTTTCATTACTATAATAAATTGCTTCTTCAGTCTCCTTAAGGAAAGGGTGATACTGTTGAGTCTTACACAGCCACTTAGTAGATTAATACTCGACTAGATCTGTTATTTAATGGGTCAGTATTCCCTGTTTGGTTTGAGGAAAAAATATATTTAAGGTACAAAAACAAACTGGGGGATATTATTCAGCCATAAAAAGAAGTGGAGTACTTGTATGTGTTACAATATAATCAAGCATTAAAAACATTATGTTGAATAAAAGAAGCCAGACACAAAAGGCCACATACTGTATAATCCCATTTATTTGAAATGTCCAGAATAGGCAAAAATCACACAGGAAATAGTGATTGCCAGGGGCTAGAGAAAGAATCATGGGTTATCTTTTTGGGGCAGTGAAATACTATAAATTTGATAGTTACAGAACATTGAGAGTATACTAAATACTGAATCATATATTTAATGGCTTAAATGGTGAAATTTATCTCAGCAAAAGCTTTGGCCATATAAATTGACTCTTCTAAATTGACTACTTGAGAGGATAAAAATTTACTTAACACTGGTCAAATGAAAAATATAATTTAATTAGAATTTCCTGGAATTTATGTGGTTTTATTTTAAGGAAATAGTTCTCTTTAACTGATCTTTTTTCTAGAAATAACACTTAACCCAATATCTGTAAATGTTTTGTCATTGTTATTCATATTGTTGTAGTATATACAATAATCCTGTATATATATCACTCATAAATACATATAGCCAGTTATGTTGTTGAATGATATAAAAAATAGCCACATAATTTGAAGTATATGGTGAGTCCATATAAGAGGCTGTATTTTAGCTGTCCCAGTTCTGTCCTCTTTTCCCAGTATTAGGACAAGAACAAGAGATGGCATTTTTCTAATCCCTAACTATAGATGATTTTTAAATGAAATAAAAACCTGGTGTTGCATGGTTTCTTCTTTTAGGCTCGATTTTATTCTCCAGCTACCATATTTATTGATGAGATAGATTCCATTTGTAGTCGCAGAGGGACGTCTGAAGAGCACGAAGCAAGCAGAAGGGTGAAAGCTGAGCTGCTGGTTCAGATGGATGGTATGTGTGTGTATATGCATGGTTGTTAACCAAGCTCTGCTCACAGTGCTGACCCACACAACTCAGGATGACTACAGGAGTCTGGCCTGTGGGTTCTGGACATTTGACAACAACAAATTGATGTGTATTGAAAATGATGACCTGCCAGAAAATATTGACAGGGCATCCTTTGGCATATACACTCATCTCATAATTTTAGCTCTGAATTGAAATAAATGCAGATAACTTGGCCTTAGGGAGGGATTTGTGTGCTTTTGAAAATTTTAAAATACTGGTGTGTAGGTGGGCTGAGCTGGTCGTTTGATTAAATCTATTTTAAACCATATTTTTGCATACAAAAACTCGTTTTTTTTTGAAGCACGAACTCATATATGTACCAGTTAGCTTTACGTCTTAAGGAGGGTTGATGACTTCAGTACCTCATAGTCATGCTAAATTTTTTATGATCTTCAAGTAGTGCTTTATTTTGTATAATCTGACTTTATTTATACTATCTCCTTCTTTTAGGTGTTGGAGGTGCTTCTGAAAATGATGACCCTTCCAAAATGGTTATGGTTCTGGCAGCTACTAATTTCCCCTGGGATATTGATGAGGCTTTAAGACGTCGTCTTGAAAAAAGAATCTATATTCCCTTACCTTCAGGTATCTTCAGTTGAATATTGTCAGAGAGCTCATATGAACCCTTAGGTAGTTTTGCTTAGATTTAAAATTTTGATAATAACTTTCCTTTAAGTGGCAGGTGTAGGATGTCTTTCATTATATTAACTGATTTGGCTGTATCTAGAGCCCAAAAGCTTTGATACTAGGTGATTTAAAATTCAGTGAGGAATGGCTGTTAACTTTTTAAGCAAATGAGCTCTAAGAAGTGGAAAACTTCTCACAAAGTTAGACTTGAGGAAAAAATAGTACACTGTTAATGTTGAAGGCTTACATTTTTTAATTTGTTTCTACAATTAGCAAAAGGCAGAGAGGAGCTATTACGAATAAGTCTACGTGAGCTGGAATTGGCTGATGATGTTAACCTTGCAAGTATAGCAGAAAACATGGAAGGTTATTCAGGTGCGGACATTACCAATGTGTGCAGGTATGAGTTATTTTGGAAGCATGGGTTTTTGTGGATGTAAACTTCTATTATAAAGTTCTTATGCTGAATTAAGACAGATGAAGAATGAAGACCTATGTTATAGTCTATACTCAGAGACACAAGTGTTGGTATTAAGTTAGTGTTAGCTGGTGCTAGTAAGGTATTTGGGTATCTTGCATGTCAGTGAAGAGTCTGCAGTTCATTTGAAAGTTGCAGAAAGTTCAAGAAGTTGTTAGAACAATTGGTATAAAATAGGAAATCAGTAATTGCCATGATTTTTAAAAATTGTTGGTGCATTCATTCATTACACTTTTTCATACGGAATATAATTTGAAATAGATGGATTTGGCACACCCCAGGGGAGTAGTCTTATCAGTGAAAAGTCCTACATGATAGAACAGCAGTAAAAAGAAAAAAAACTGTCTCCAGTCTAGCTGATTCAAGTAGGTTTTGTCCCCAAGTACTAGTTCAGGCAGTTAGTTAGCAAATTACTCGACTGCACCAGTTTCCTCATTTCTAACGACTATGCAGGGTTGTTGTGACCATTAGTGGTAAATGTGTATATATAAAGCAGCTGTTATGTTGCTGTCCATTTGCATAAATGGTGGCTGCTATTAAGGATGAAGCTTGGTGAAAAGAGATACTTGAATCTTAAGTTGCTCCTTTTTAAGGAAGAAAGCACTAACACCAAGAGGGTGAGGAGAGACCACCTAACTTGATCATTCAGCTTTGCTGACTTGTGGAAAACAATTTTGTACCTAATAGGTTCTCTCCTCTCCCTGTGATGCTTATTTTTTATTTTATTAGATACTTACAATGAAATTCAGTTTTTGCCAGCTTCTTTGTTACATCCTTCTGCTTTTTTTCTTAGGCTTCTTGGTCAGTATCAGTTATTTGAATTGATTAGCATCCCTATTTCATCACAAAGACTTATTAACAGCTCAACAACTCAGAATTGGTGTCATATTCTGGTAGATCCTCTATATTATACATTATATGTAATAAGATAATCATAGATTAACACATACACTGAAATTTTCCGCTCACAAGTTTTTATTCAACCAAATATGACTTTTTGTTTTGTTTTAAAATTTAAAACCTAGGGATGCATCCTTGATGGCAATGAGAAGGCGTATTGAAGGTTTGACCCCAGAAGAAATTAGGAATCTTTCAAGAGAAGAAATGCACATGCCTACAACTATGGAAGACTTTGAAATGGCTTTAAAAAAGGTTTCTAAGTCAGTATCTGCTGCAGACATTGAAAGATATGAGAAATGGATATTTGAGTTTGGATCATGCTAAATTCTCACATGTAATCTGAGAAACCTGCCTTGTTTGAATAACAATTAAATGTAGTATTTCATTGTACCGAGTGCTATATTTTTTTAAACTTTCATAATGGTAAGATAAAAAAAAACCATGATTTTGAATAAAGGCAATTTTTTAAAGCTGCAAGCAGATTTGTTTTACTTTAGCATCACCTGATTTCTCGTTCACAGATGTTGCATCACAATGCTATTATTTAACTTGGAAAACTGTCACTGACTTCTAAGAACAGCATCTTCTCTTCCACTGTCTGCAGCTGCTATTCCTTCTAGGGGGTAAGACTGGCTGTGGATAACTGATGAATAACTGAAAATTCTGAACATTTTTACACAAGAAGCCAACTGAGGCCTGAACCTTGCCCAGTGTGACTTCTTTCCTAGTGCTAATGGTAGCTTCCCTCTTCCTGGAAGGGCGTGCAAGACCCTTCATTTTACCATGCTAATCTAAAAGGAAAAATCTATGTATCTGTGTACAACTATGCCTGACTTTTTCTGCCTGTGTGAGAGACTACACTATAGGCAAGTAAATACTTATAAGCCTAATGCTGCTCACTATACTTGAATAAAACTCATTAATCCATTCAGTCATGGATACTAAGCATAATTAACCTGATAGTTAATGATGCAAGTAAAAGTTAAATGAAATAAAAGCCAGTGGAATAAAATTTTAGGTAAGATTTTCATTTATGATTACATGGAAAAAAACTTTTACACCCTTTCCTTGGGCCTCAAGGAAACTTGAGTGCCTTGCCATGGTCCAAGTCTCACTGGTAAGCAGAAAAGGCAGGATAGGAGTCTGAGTGCAGAACCTGTGCTCTCCAGTTAGCCACGCAGCCTCCCATGACATTCTCCTCACTAGTGTCTACAAGCTTATGCTTAATGGATAAGACCCTGACATCATTTGGAGGAAGAACTGGTGATTTCTAGAAACTTGGAAGGATAGAAAGAAAGTGTTACTAGCTGGGTGATTTTAAGACCCAATTATAAATTGAATGCTCTTTATTATTCTATAATATGGAAAGAGTAAATCTCACAGGGCTATTCCTTATGAAAAACAGGTAGGCAAAATGAAACATCTCTCCTTTACTATCTGCACACCAGTCATTACTTTCTGAAACAATGTATTTAAAATGTGTTGCAGTTGAAAAAAAAAAAAGATTTAAATAAAAGAGAATAGGAAGTATCACATGGGATAAAAATTATTATTATTATGTACTAGACCACACTGTAAAATATGTCAATATGAGTGACAGTTAAAAAACACCAAACACTGTTGTAGAGTGAATTAGCCTTAAGAATCACAAAGGCAAAGGCATATGCTAATTTCATGATACTGATGGACGTCCACTGATTTGAGTCTTGGTTTTAGACAGTGTTTGTAAAAGGGGCTATTATATATAAGTAATTCTCACCTGGGCAAAGTTTTTATACCAAAAACACTACTTTTTTTCCTCAAAGAGTTTATTTTAGAGTGAGAACATGTCACTATTTAAATCCTGGTGCATTCAAGGCAAGTGGTAATTCAGGATACAATCAAATCATGATAAACTTCAGTGATTTTTATACTCAGTCACATATTTAATATAAAGGCACATTTTACTTAATAAAAAAATAAGTGTTAAGTTCTTGAGCTTTTAAATTAGAAGTTCATAAAGTGCTTTTTATGAAGTCTCATATATTACAGTAATTTATGTGGATATAATTTCCTTAAAGGCACCTTGAAAAGTATTGGCACATGGCATTTTTCTTGCCTTTTCTTTTTTCTTTTTGGTAATTTCAAAATTTCCTCATATGTATTCTCTTCCACTTCACTTAAATTTTCCTTAACAATTCATTATCTGAATAGCCAGCCCTGTTAAAGACTGAGGTGAACTTGTCACTTTAAAGGTCAAGTTTTAGGCAGGTTTAGGAGTTTAGGAATTTCTCTAGTATACAAACTGATTCTAAATGATTTAAAGTAAATTATATTTAAGTGGCAAATTTAGAGCCAGTAGACTGTAGTTCAGAGTCCATGATTTGAGATGGTGTTTTAAGTACATGTTTTATCTTCAAGGTACTTTGCAGTTTTCTCAGGACTATCTGGAAGTGAGTTCATAGCTGTCACAGGCATAACATTCACTTTATCCAACTGAAGAATTCCTCTGAAATATAAAAATAAAAATTAAGTATTTCCACTGTCTATAGTTCAGTAGTAAGACTGGGCTACTTCAAGGTTATAATTAAATATATACCTGGGGTTGGGTGCTCTTCATTTTATTTGGTTTATAATGGCTGTACAAACTCTGAGTCCAGAGTTCACTTTAACCAAATCAATTGAGGGAACAGAAACATAAAAAGGAGGTTCCTTACTTTGTACTGTAAGGAAGGGAAGGACTGGGGAAGTATAGATCTCCAAGGCAGACAGAACCTGAGATTTGCACAATTCAAGCAAAAAGACTAGGCCAATGAAGCTTTTTAACCAGAACTCACCACTGGAATACAATCTTACATCTTTAGATAGCATTTCTCCTTTTGTTACCTTTTAAAGTACTTGACAGTGGAGCAGATCTATGGATTAGACCCACAACCCTATATTTCAAGTTCATTGTCATCCCAATCAAAACATAAAGTTAGTTGTTCATTGAACTGATCAAGCTGTTTCTAAAGTTCCCAAGGGAGAAACTGCAAGATTAACTGTAACATTTATGAAAAAGAACAATGGAGAGAAGTTACAGTTGCCCTAACTGGCTATCAAAGGTTATGTTAAAACATGGTAGCAATTAAAACCTTGCTACTGACATACAACTTGACAAATAACTCAGTGGAAGAAGTTAGTTCCGAAACAAGACTAACGTATATGGGAATTTACTTCATCATAAGGTAACAATCCGAGTCAACAGGCAAATTACTAATGGAACAGTGGTCTCTCTGGAAAACAAAATCAGAACTCTAGATTCACTTAAACACAAAAGTGATGGTGAAAAATAAGAAAACACTTAAGTAATTTTAAGATAGGAAAGTTCTATTTAAGAAAAATTAAAAACTCTATATAAGCCATAAAGGAAAAGCATGAATTACTTTGACCCCAGATTTAAAACACACCATTATAACTGGGATACCATAAACAAGAACAGAAGACAAATTGGGATTTTTTTTAAAGTATCTACAACAGATATTATGTACATATAACAAAGGAACTCCCACATATTGATGATTATTGCCAAAGGCAATACAAAAGAAAAATGGGCAAAGGCATGTCACAGGAGAAATATACAGCCAATTATCACGAGATGCTAGACTTAGCAAGACTTGGACTAGCACAGATACTAACAAGAAAAAAATGCAAACTAAAAGGAGATTATATTTTTGTCCACAGGAACAAAAACAAGAGACTGCTATCAGGTGTTGAGACGATGTTAAATATGTATACCCTTGGACCCAGTAATTTCACTTTTAGGAATCTTTGTGTAAAAAGATATATGTACATTTATGAATGTATACTAAAGCACTAATGGAAATAATATGAAATTGGAAATTACCTAAATGTCTAAGGGAGGAATGGTTATATTATGGCACTACCTGTACTGTGAACCACTATGCAGCCATAGTGAGAACAAGTAGGCCTAGGTATGTACTGATAGAAGATCTTGAGCCCATGCTTCCCAAACTGCCCTGAGAATCCTGGGGTGGCACAGACAGATTCACAGAGGCACACAGAATGTTCAAAACTTTTTAAGTTTTCTTGTGTGGTACTAGCTTGAGGGTAGTTCATGGTTTTAACATTAGATTGTACTACCCTACACATTCCTTTCAATGAAGCCCTATCTTTGCAAAGCTGAATTTTTGGCAGTTAGTGTGATAAAAGGCAACACTGTGCAAAAAATTGAACAGGAAATGAGGGTGGCAGTGTATAACTGGATTCTAAGATTACTGCGTAGTGCCCTACAGGCACACACATCCCATCAGTAAGTTAAGAATTTAAATAAAAGTATTTTTTCTTTCAGTTTTTCTTGTGGCCTAGGTAAGAGCACCAGGAAAAAATTACTAGCACAGTATAGTTCTATGAACCAAGAAAGTTTGGGAACCTCTGTCATAAGTGAATAAAGCAATCTGTGAGACAGTTAAAAGAGTTGGTTGATTAACAATTATAATAGTATACACTTAACATCAATATACAGAAGCTGGATAAAAGATGCACACCCAAACAGTTAACAGTGATTACCTCCAGGTACAAGAACTGAAGAACAGGGAAGTGAAGAGGGACTTTAAATCTCACCGCTCTCTACATTTCTGTATCGATGAAATCTTACACTATCAGAAAGTATCCTCACTGCCATTGATAAGTATATTGCAAATTTGGGTTTTAATTTTGCATTGCATCTTTTCCCAAGACAAGTAAAAGAGTCCATAAGTAAAATATTTGGTAAGAGAACAATAAAAACATTTACAACCCTGTTTTCTATGTAGGTTTATATAATAAAGTTCAAAAAAGGTTCTGAGCTCGCTGGTAGCCAAAGGAAAAAGGAAGAAACTATTAAGTCATAGAATTTCCATTATCAGGAAGAAATGGGAAATGTTCAGGGGACACCGGAAGTAAAAGGTGGAGGGGCACTAGCACTTCTTTACTCCTCAAGTGCTTGGCTTGCACTATGACTCCCTTTAAGGGAGGCTTCAGTTTAATCTTACGCATGAAGAAATGGGAATTTCAAAGACTTTGTGGCAAGGAACTTGAGAGCAAATGTTTAAATTTGGTCTTTTTTTCTATAAATCCTATGGTCTCTCCAACGTAGTGCAATGTAATTTAGCTAAGCCAAAAACTAGTCATCTCTGTTCTATTGCGATTTACTTTTACTACAACAACTACAATGGCTGCTAAACTGGTAAAAATGCTAACAATAAATTCATTTTCAAATTTATAAAATAATTCCTTACAGTTAAAAAAAAGTCAAGCTGTACAGAAAGGGAAAAGGTGAAAGTCTCTCTACCCCTGCTCTCATTTCCACTCATTAGAACTTATTTTGACATTCCAGAAATTTTCTATTTACTTATATGCATATACACCTAATCTGTTTTACCTAACTGGGATCATACTGTTAATGCCACCTGCCCCATCTAATAGATTCCAGACTTCTATATTTGACAAGCAGCAAGAATCCCATTGCAATGTGTGAACCATTAGTTAGCTAAGCCCCCGTGGATAAACAGTTCAAGGTTTCCTCTTGCTTTTATTTTCTGTTACAAGCAGTGCTGCAGTGAATATCCTGTTAATCTCCTAAAATTAACTCCATTTTAAATCGATACCTTGGAGTAGAAAATACAGAGTAAAGCTCTCGTTTCCTTTCTCTTTTGTACACACTGCATTGTCCATTACAGATATTTGTTTCCTTTTCTAATAAACTAAGTTCTTAGCAAGCAGAGTCTCTCTTATCTATATTTGAGTCCCTAAGACAAGTGTCTTGTTGGTAATAGATATCCAGAAGTGTCTCTTAATTTTGCTAAAGTTGGAAGGTTGTCTTACCCTTCCTCATTTTTATATTTTCTAAGATATAGTAAATCCAACTCACTTTTTGATCATTAAAAGTAACAAATTTTGCTTCAAAAATAAAGAATACTTACTTGTATTTACAAACTGGGCAAAGCATCTTTAGGATGGTTATTACCACAGCTGCTCCTATAATTCCAGCCACCATGACATTCAAAAACATAAAGAATACTGGGAAAACCCTGCTCCAGTACCTACACAGATCTTTTCTGAGCTTTTCCATCCACTGACACACCACCTAAAAAAGGATCTTTGATTAGATATACAGGTATATTTTGAACTCTAAGGAACTTAAAAAATTACGTTCTAGTTTGGGGTGATGACATTTTGTATCTTGGTCATGGTGGCAGTTTATGGGTGGCTGTACAGATGTCAAAACTTATCTAACTATATTATAAATGGGAGCATTTTGTTATTTACAATTTTCAAAATTATGTTCTAACAATACAGGCACAAAAATATTACTATTCTTTACCTTTATTTATACTGTAGTTTAACAATAAGTTAAATGAAAATAATTGCTAACTAATGAAAGGTTAGACTAGTCCATCTTATGCAAAGTAGATGAGTCAACTATATGTTTCCAGTAATTTGGAGGTTAAGAGAAGAGGGAGAAAGCTTCTTAACAGCTTTTGGAAGATGGGGAGTTCACCATGTACCAAACATGCTTCTCTACTTAAAAGAGTAAGAAAAATCTAGGCATGCATGGATGGCACAGACTTTGAAGAGAGTCTGATCATGGGCTGCCCTGCTCTGAGGGAGGTGGGGTAGACACAGTGAGGGTACAAGAGTTCAGGCAGCAAAAGTAACCTGAGTTTCTCCAGCAACCCCAACCTTCAGTGAGAATTCAAAAAATAATCTCTGGAATCCTTTGAGACTAACCATAGACCCTGCTCACTTAAATGGAAGTTATTTTGAGTAAGAGACCTAGCTAAGGCATATGAAAATACCAGGATACTGTCTCTGAACCCCAAGGATCTTCCCTGTCAACAGGATAATGCCATCAATAATATATGAGGATTTCATAGGTGCCAATGCATATTTAAGGACTGTACCCACCTCATGTAATCCTTATAACAACTGCATGAAATAAGCACTATATTACAGATTTTATGGGTATTCCATTGTACAGATAAAGAAACTGAGGTTGGAGAGTCTAGGAACTTGTCCAAGATCACATAACTAGTAAGTGGAAGAACCAGGATTCAAACCAATACAGTCTGACTCCCGGAAGTACACTCTTAACTAAGTGTCTTCACGCTGATGTACAAGATTTTGAAGGCACCATGCACGTGCAAACGTGCGAGCATAGGAGTCACAGAATAAACAAATGGGAATAGGAGAGAGGCTTTGGAACTGAAAATCCCAAACAAAATGAAATCCAGTGACCTGATAGTCATTATCTGACTATACCATTAAATGAAGTTTAGAAAGGAAAATAGGAATACCTAAAAAAAGTCACATTAAATACAGTGAAGAATCCATTATTAAAAATGTTTTATACTTCTGATCCTCATGGTTTCCACCTCATTTCAAATGCTCTTTTCTTCATCATAACCATAAATGCTTTGTGATATAAAGATAATCCCAAATTCCTGATTTACCTTGTATGAAGAAGGAGGCTCTGCTCTGAGAGGGGTTTCAGGTAATTTCCCAGGTAAAGCGTCTCCATCTACGGTGGTCTCCACATTCCTGATGAGATACTGGCTGGTGGTCTGCGAGGAACGAACGCTTTCTGCTGAGGAGGAAGAGCCAGGTTACCAGGATGCCAGGCATGCGCTGCTCTCCCGCCTGCCGAGCCTCAAGCCACTAGGCCAGAGAGGGAGGAGAGTAAGAACGGATACTTACCTGCACAGAGAAAAAAATAACATATTTGATTGTTCAAATTTAAATGCCAGAAGGGACCCATATACTAAGACAGTTATAAGAACTATAGCAGTTATAATTCTATCATACAGAAAGTCAAATTTTCAAAAGTTCTGTGTTTCAGTGGAAAACATGAATGCTGCTTCTTCCAAATGAAATTAAACGAACAATACTCTTATTATGTACTTTGTGATGATTATCCAGAGTAAAAGCAGATAATTGCAGCAAAATGTCACTATGCAATCACATTCTATTAAGACTCAAAATAGATTTCTATGGTCCTTAAAGAGACTTACTATACATGTTATAAAGCATTTCTGAAAGAAGCTTACTTCCAAACATATTACAATTAAGAAGCTACCAATTAAATGAATAATTTCCTTAATACATCAAATAATAGTCTTTTAAAAATACCTTTTTTGGAGAGGTTGGGAAGGGTAAATAAAGTGTCACTGTCTCGGGAAATAGAGTATAGCATGCTTTCTTCCAAAGGTAGAGTGTAGTTTGAATGTCTGAGTATTCCCTGGTTCTTAACTAAAATATCAATTTCAGTTACATCCTTTTGGTGAGCCTATGAAAGAAACAATAAGCAATTACTCTTCATTTATTTAAATAACAGCACAACCCAGTAAGAAAGGAAAACTGAATCTTCCTCCCTGATCTCTGCAACCAAAACCATTGTCCTAGTCAAACAATTACTCTTTATTCTCCCCCTCCCACTTTGAGGCATTTAATTGAAGACTTTAACCACACTCCTGTGTGCTGCCGCACTCGCTGATCTGGAAGTTTGTTCTCAGTTCCATTTCATTTGCTTAGCGACTTAGCCAGGGGAAGTGGTAGCAAAGCAGTGAACCAAATTCAGTCCCTTCGCTCACCTGCTGTTTAATGATGTTTCTAATATTGTAAAGTGATATAGACATGGATGAATATGATTGATTGTTTTAAAATTAAGATTTCCAATGCTAAACAAGTAAACACTAAAACAAAACATTCTAAGTGACTGGACACAGGTAACATTAGGGTACCTTCCTTCCTTATCAGAAATAAATAATAACTGAACACATGCATAATACCTAGCACAAATCTTCAGAATTTAACCCCCAATTAATAAGCATACTGTCTTACTTGTTTTCCATCAATCTCTACTACCTCTTCTTGAATGACAATTAGTTGCAAACTGGAACCAGATGTCATAGGCCATTCATGAACTAAAATCCTTACACTGACAGTTCCAAAATATTCTTTCTCTTCCAAATTTTCCAGATTTTCATTCTTCACTATAAAAAAATAAAGTAGTGACAGCTCTGAATAAAAAATGCCAACCAAATCTGTTACTGAATTTGACCACTTTGATGACATTTACATGGAACAAGACAGCTGTATACCAATTTCTCTGCCTTCATCTCGGACCTCACTGATGTTTTAAATTTATGAACACAAACAACTTGACAAGTCCTGACAAAGCTTATAGTCATTTGAAGAACAAAAAATGCCTGATATATGAAACACCACACTATTCCTTTACATAGTTTATTAATGAGGAACAAACATGGCATAGCCATTACAAAGCAGGCTAGAAGACACAGCCAATTCCATGTTTTAGTAAAGTAAGCATATTCATTCATCCATTCATTCATTCATTCACAAAATCCAGTGACTGGAGGAGCCCACACAGTGAGGACACTGAGCTTTCTTCTCAGTCCTGAGAAGGGACTTCTAACTATGGGAAAGGACAGACATGGGGAAGAGGGTGGGAAAGCCCTGCAATTACTCCCCACCAATGGACCATGGGGTAGGATTAGCTACTGGCCATATTTCTCTCTAGCTAAAAACCCTCTACCCCACACCAAAGGAGGTGGAGTGTGGCAGTTCTGGCTGCTCTAAAGCTGGTGCCTACTCTAGTAAGGCAGAATGCACTATAGAAAAAGATAAATCAACATAAACCAATGAAACTGCTACAAATGGAGCATTTACTTTCCATCCCTCAAATGTTATGGTTTGATGACTGCAAAACCACCAGTCTGAACTGATTCAGTGCCTTTATAGGGCTAGTCCCTTCATCTGGATGCTTTTTACTAGTCACTCTCCCTGGCCCCATCCATTTCTAATAAACTACTTAAGTAGTTTTGGCTACCTTATCCCTACAATGCTGAGTTCATGCCTTTTTTTTTGTAAAGCACTAACTTTCTTGCAGTGCATCTCTTAGTTTATAAACCTGTCTCTTCCACTAGGCTGAATTCCTTGAGCATATGCATTGTGTATTGTATTACAGCTTTTGTTCAGCCATGGTCCCATCCAGAGTTATAAATACAAAACTTTAAATATACATGCTGTCATATTATCCATGATATTTAAACACCTGGTCTAGTGGTTCTAAATCCTAAATATGTATCAGAATCAACTGCAGAACTGTATAGATCCCACAGCCTCACCCAATCGCAGTAAATCAAAATTTTTGGTGATTATAGACTAACATTTATAAATTTTTAATTTTACGAATGTACAGACATTTCTGTTGAGAACCCAGTGACCTCTTTAGCTCAATCTTGTCTTCACAAAACTGTCCTTCCTTGACTTCCATGTTTTTGTTAGTTAAGTCCATCCTCCTCCAAGCTACTAGATTACCTTTGATTCTTCATCCTCATCGTCTATACCCAGTCAGCTGCTTCCTCTGCATTCCAGCTCCAAAGTATCTCTTATATTTGTCCTTTCCATCTCCTACCTATCTCTCCACCCAATATCTAGTTCTTTAACTACTTATTATTACAATACTTACATAGCTATGCTCCCCTTTTCCTGCCCCTTCCCTTCAAACCATTGCGTAACAATGTCAGACTCACCTCACCAGAACAGCTCCCTGTTCAAACACCCTCAGCGGCTGCCCCATGACTTTGCTGCTGACTCTGAATCGTGCTGCTTCTTCAGGATCGTCATGGCAGCAACCTGCTGCTCCTCTCTCTCTAGTCGGCCTCACCTCTCTCCTCTCCACTCAGGCTCCTAACTGCGAAGCTTCCCCCTCGCATCCATGTCAGTGTCTTCCCTGACAGATCACCCACTGGTCACCCTCCTGGAGCAGGGGGCTCCTTGTTAGCATATCCGTATACCCAAAGGCTAGTGCCCGAGGACACAAGAGACTCAATGGAAGAGAAAACGCAGTCACATAAATACATCAAAGTGGTGACTCCTCAGCTCCCAAAGCTGGGACCCCTGCTCTAGAATACAATTCAGTGGTTCTCAGTGGCCCTTGCCCCTGGTATTCATGCCCTTGTATAACCCCCTCCCAATGAGTGTGGGCCAGACCTAGTAACTTGTTTCTAACAAACAGAATACAGCAAAAGTGATGGATGTCAATTCTATGACCGGATTATAGAAAACTGTCTTGCTAGTATTCTTGCTCTTGCTGGCAGTCTCTCTTGTCCTCTCATTGATAAAGCCAGCTGCCAGGCTGTGAGATGCTCCAGGGAGAGGTCCATGTGGCAAGGAAATGAGGGAGGCCTTTCGTGAGGAACTGAGGCTTCTGCCCAGCAGTTCACAAGGAACTGAATCCTGTCCACAACCACTGAGTGAGCTAGGAGGCGGACCCTTCCTAGCTAAGCCTTGAGATGACTGTATCCATGAGAGAGCCAGAGTAAGAGGACCCAGCTATGCCAAGCTCACATTCCTGGCCTATAGAAATGAGGTAACACTGTGGTAGCACACTCAGTTTTAGGTCAAGTGGTTATACAAAAATGTGTAACTAATACACCTACCAAAGAAGAAATTTTTTAAAAGAACAAAGGAGAGATGATAATTGAATTAATGTTTTGAAGATTCTTACAACTAATAACATGGGCATTTACTTCAGCCATCAAATAAACAAACTCAGTGCAACAACTGGGATTACTACAAGGATGACTATAATAGGTAGAGCAGCCAGGTTGCATTCCATGCCAAATTCCTAATGAACACACCACCAGTGGAATTACTTAAATCAGCAGTAGCACTTCTTTTCCTTGCTATGAATTAGCTTGTGGTACACTAACTTCCTCACCGAGAGCCACTAGAAGAGATGTAAAAAAATAAACACATACACTCAAAACCCACATCTATCTGGAGGCATCAGAGTTAAAAGGACAGCCAGCACCTCAGGAGGCATGTGCCTATTCCCAAGGTGACCAGGTAGAGAAGCTGGAAAGCTGAGAAGGCAATGGCTGAGGCAGAGAAGCTAAAACAGTGCTTTTGGTAGTGTCACGCAGAGGAGAATAAAAGTAAGTGATGGCTACAAAAATGTCCATCAATTATGACAAGATCCTAGAGAAAAAGGAAGCACAGAAGTAAGTCAACATTTCTATGCAGTTTTCCCCACTGAAACATTTGCTGATTCATAAATGGGAATGGGCTGAGAATCTGAGCATGCACCTAAGATACTAAGAAGTGAAGCAGAACCTATGTCAGGCTTATGATGATGTGGAGTTTGGGGCCCACAAAAGAGGGAAGCCCTTGTAAACACCCCAAATTTTCACTTGGGATCTAAAAAGAGGTATATCTGAGGAAGTGAATGAGAGATAGACTAGACCTACAAAGACTGGAATCCAGCCTTCATCAGTTCAATCCTTGACTTAATAATCGAGGTACTCTGCTTGTTATTATCATTACAAGGGCTAAAATAATCTTCCTTAGAGGAAAATAATATCATCCAGAGCCTTTATAACTTTCCATGCCCAATATCAAAAATAACAACACATAGTAGAAGATAAAGAGAAAAAAACAGATATGAAGGGGCTCAAGAAATTAGAGTGGGCAGGCATGAGCTTTAAAGTTACTATAATTATTAGGTTCAACAAAATAAGACAATAAAATGGAGAATTTCACCAGATAACTGTTAAGTGATCAAAAATAAGAACCAAAAAAAGAATGAAATGCAATAAATGAAACTAAATTAGACATAGCTGATGAGAATGCATGTGCTGGAAGGATGGAAAGAAAAAGGATGGAAAAAAAAACAGAAAAGAATGAAAGAGAGAGGATGGGGAAGTAGCATTTGTTGAAAAGATAGTGACCAAAAACTTTCCAAAACTGACAAAAGACACTGAGTCACAGATTAAAGAACTGCACACCTGTGCGTATCATAGTGCAACTACTGAAAACCAAAAACAAACAAAAAAAAATCTTAAAAGCAACCAGAAAAAAATGTTAGCCTCAATGGAGCATGAGACTGACACTGATTCTCAGTAGACACTAAAGTGAGAAGACATGGAAATTAGCCTTTAAAGTGCCAACCCAGGCTTCCATACCCAGTAAAAGTATCCTCCTAAAATGAAACCCATGTAAAGATGTTTTTAGACAAACAAAAGCTCAGGTAATTAACTGCTAACAAATCTGCACTAAAAAAATACTAAGGGGAATTCTTTAGACAGAGGGAAAATGACCCCTGAGGGGAACACATATATATTCAGACAGGAATGAAGAGCAATGGAAAGGGTAACTATAACAGTAAACATAAATGAATATTGGACTATAAAAAACATTACATTGCATTGGGTTTAAGAACACAGAGTTAAAATGCATGATCATAACAACACAAAAGCAGAAATGGAATAAATGGAGCTTAAGTGTTCTAAGGTTCCTGCACTGTTTGGAACATGATAGAAGTACTAGTTATTGATCTCAAGGGTAACCATTAAAAGAATAGTAAAATAATACAAAAGCAACTTGACAGAGGGGAACAATGAAACAATAAACAACCCAGAAGAGGGCAAAGAGAAGAAAAAGGAACAGAGAACAAAGAGGGAACAAATAATTAAGGTGGAAGATTCAAATCCAAATATATCAATTAATTACATTACTGTAAATAAATTAAAATTCCAATTAAAAGACAGATTGACTGACTAAAAAAAGAAACCAATTAAGTATATGCTGCTTTTAAGAGATTCACCTTAATTATAAGGACCCAGAAACACAGAAAGAAAATGGAAGGATACCACACAACATTCTACCTCCCTAATCCCTGCCCAGTCAAAAAGGAGTTATTGCTAAAGTAATAAAGATAAAGCTGATTTCAAGGCAAAAACACCACTAGACATAAAGAAGGACTTACTATAATGATAATAGGGTTAGTCCACCAGGAAAACAGTATAGGTCTAAATCTGTAAGGATTTAATAATATTGCATCAAAATATATAAAGTGAAAATTGACAAAACTGAAAGGAGAGTAGACTAATCTATATAGTGGAGATTTTAACATGCCATCCTCAATAACTGACAGAGCAAGCAAACAAAAAAAATTAGTAACTCCATAAATGACTGAACGAATTCGACCTGCCCTATATGGAACATCATATCCAACTAATTACATAATTTACTTTCTTTTTACGTACACATGGAAAGCAACAGTTACTAAAACTGACCACATGCTAAGCCATAAAACAAGTTTCCAAACTTCAAAGGGTTAAAATTATACTGCATATATACTCTGAAGATGGAGGTATAATCAGCAAAAAAAAAAAAAAATCCCCAAATGTTTGGAAATTAAGGAATATACTTTTAAAACTCCTAAGACAAGACAATAGCACAACAAATAATTAGAAAACACTATGAACTGAATGATAATGTAAATATATTACAAATCAAATATAAGATACAAGTGTTCAGAGAAAAACTTACTGCCTTCAGTGCATATATTAAGAAAGGTAATAAGAATACTATACATATTTCTAATCTTATTTCACTTAAATAGTATAGTACATTCCAACATAGGTTAAAAAGAAAAAATGTTATATGGACAATAAGGGTAGAAGAAACTGAAAACTACAGGAATCAATCAGATGATTCATTTTTCTCTTTCTTTTTTATTTTTTACAATTGTGATAAGCACTCCTCTAAGAGTTTACTTTTTGCATGTAAATCTTCATTTACTACATATACATACATTCTTACATGGATATCAACCTATCAGAAATGCAGTTCCAATCAATGCCAATCTCATGAAAGAGAGAAAATGTACATATGCCATTGTAAAGTAGAAATAGAGCTTTCAACACATTGGTGTTATTATGCCCTATTAATGATGTATATCATGAATTGAAAATGGAAATATGTAACATCAGAGAGTTGTGTTTCATTAGTATTATTAAAAACAGAACAATTTTATGGAAATAATTTAGTAGTACTCACCTATCAAAGTCTGACAGCTTATTCGGGTTACACCACTATTTACAGGGAAGTCATTTACATATACCTGTCCATTCTCATAGTTTATATGAAGAACAACCTTAAAATAAAGCAGCATATACATTAATTCCAACAGTTCATAAATAATGACAAACTCTTCATGTCAAAAATACATAAAATTATATTTGTAGGTAAAAATAAAACACGTTGCATAATACTTAGCTAAGTGATACATTAAAAACACAGTCAGAAGAGGACAAACCTGTTCTTTAGATACCTCCCCATCATCTTTCAGGGTAGTTACATCAATTCTGATGCTGTCCTGCAAAACAAATATTATATAAGTTGAATAGGCAAGCATTTCACTAATAGAGAGTAACTCAGTTTTTTCTTTTCGCCTCAATTATATTTATTGCATAATTACTTACGACATTAAAAGAACATTTTTAAGCCACGCAGAGAAAGACAAATACCAAATGACATCACTCACCTGCGGAGTATAACAACAAAGCAAAAACTGAAGGAACAAAACAGCAGCAGACTCACAGAACCTAAGAATGGACTAACAGTTACCAAAGGGAAAGGGACTGGGAAGGATGATGGGAAGGGAGAGATAAGGGGATTAAGGGGCATTATGATTAACACACATAATGTGGGTGGGGGGCACAGGGAAGACAGTATAGCACAGAGAAGACAAGTAGTGAGTCTATAGCATCTTACTATGCTGATGGAAAGTGATTGTAATGGGGTACGTGGTGGGGACTTGATAATGGGGGAAACTAGTAACCACAATATTGCTCATGTGATTGCATATTAATGATATCACACCATAATAAAAAGGAAAAAAAAGAACATTTTAAAAAACCTATCATTTTTACTTTTATAGACTATTTTTTAAATTTTGATATCATTAATGCACAATTACTTGAACATTATGGTTACTAGACTCCCCCTATTATCAAGTCCCCCCAACATACCCCATTACAGTCACTGTCCATCAGCATAGTAAGATATTAATAGAATCATTACTTGTCCTCTCTGCATATACTACCTTTCCCGTGACCCGCCCCCACTACATTATGTGTACTAATTGTAATGCCCCGTTATCCACCTTTTCCCTCCCTT